CAACACTCGAAAAACCCCCCAAAAGGCCTGGAGTGAGGGGGCCTGTCTCACCTCCGGGGGCAAGATGTTCCAAAGGGCGGGGTCTACAGCAGAGAAGGCCCGCCTTCTGGACCCCGCTCCTTGACTTCAGAAAATAACAACGAAATCCTGATTTTTCTTGGCAGTATGTATAATGCATTTACAGCAGATCACTGCTTCCTTTTTTATTTATTTATTTGATTTATGTAGCCACCTATCTCACACAGCAACTCTGGGCGGCTCACAGCAGGTAAAAGCAATGCAAAATGTGCAAAATGCAGCAACACACACATCAGCTAATATTACTCAGTATGCAGTAAATGGCACAAATATTCTTAAAGTTTTCACAACTCACAGAAAGTGAATGACAATATCTATTCCTTTCTATAGATAATTTATTTAAGTTATTCAAAGTGTTTCTTAAATCTAGGAACGAGCGGTTTCTCTTCACTTTTGTATGGAATTTAGTAATTCAACAGAAGTCAGTATGTCTAGAGGAGAATAACAGAAAAAATGTGCATATCCACATACTCATCTAGATTCATATTCCAAAACTCTACTTTTATCATTGTTGTAGCTGTTTTTAGCAGCAATGGATTCAGAATTTAATGTGGCATTTTAAGTGGATCACAATTTTCCTTTATATGCTGTTTTGTAAGTAAAAATTAAGTGCATAGCTGTTGCCGCAGAGGTCTTTCAACATAAACAAATATTCACAAACTGATTTTCCTGTTTCTAATCACTGTTGCTATCTGAAACCTATTCGTTACAATTCAATATTGAATTCTTTCAGGATTTAAGTTACCAATACGTACAATTATGATGCACTATTTTTCTTCAGACCATTGATTTCTGACTACACCTGGATGCAATCCATAATTTGCTTAATACGTTTTCTTGTACCATTTAATGGACTCTATTAAAAGTCCATTTTAATAATCCTGGATAGGTTCAAGCTCCAGATACCTTCATGCAGCCCACTGGCTACCCCTTTGTTCCGCCCTTCATGTGAGTTATCATTAACTCCCATTATGTCTTATTTGGGATTTATGGCAGCAGCTTTCCAAAGCAGCCAGGATTTAAAAACTAAAATTGACATAGTTTCATATCCCAACTTGATTAGAAGGTCTCAACTGCAGTTTCTTGGCTCTCATGAAACAGAAAGTTAAATTAACCATATATTATTACTTTGTTAGGAGTTGGACTCAGATACATAGTGCTAGCACATACTTCGAATACTAAACTAAATTTGATCATCCAAATGTAGTCTTATGTTTCCTTGTCCTCCTCAGCCTCATTTTTGTTTTCAATATTAGTTTGATTCAAAGTGTCTATTTACTTAGGCTATTTAAATTAATTCATGCTGCAGTGAAATAAGCATAGACAGATACCCAATAGAAAGATGGCTACTGGCATCTTAAAAATTTGATTATGTCCTACTATTGTACAGCAACTCATCTTAAAAATACAGAATAGGATTCTACAAAATTAAAATCAACCAAAATTATAACACGTAGTAATTATTGCAACATTTTTCAAAGACTCTGTCACAAATTAATTTATAAAAACTGCAACAGCTAAGTGTGCATGAACATCAACATATCTTTGCTAGGAAAATATAGTCCTCAGAGTATATTTATATATGAATATTCCCTCCATAGAGAGCCAGTTTGGTGTAGTGGTTAAGGCGCCAGGCTAGAAACCAGGAGACCATGGGTTCTAGTCCCACCTTAGGCACAAAGCCAGTTGGGTGACCTTGGGCCAGACATTCTCTCTCAGCCCTAGGATGAAGGCAATAGCAAGTCATTTCTGAAATCTTGCTAAGAAAACTGCAGGGTCTTGTCCAGGCAGTCACCAACACACACACACAAAGAATTCACACCATAATCTATACTCACTGTGAATGTAGGCTTAGACTCATGGGTTAAAACTAGAAACATGCAAATAGATTCCTATTTACATAATGGGTTTTTCTCCCTGCAAAATCCCAGTGCAAATTCTCTGCAGATCTCTAGAGATGCAATTATGGAACTTCACAGAGTAGGCAGGATGTGATCAGCGATATCTGTTCTGACAATGTTGCTCTAGTTCTTAGCACTGCATTTTAAAAATTATTCAAACTGGAGCAGATTCAGAGAAGGGAAACAAAAATAAGGGGTTAGAAAAGAAAGTGAGGGAAATGGGAATGTTTAGCTTTGACAACAGAAGACTAACAGAAGACTATGACACTCTTCAAATACATGAAAGAACATCACACAGCAGAAAGTCAAGATCTGTTCTGCACTGTAAAGGAGTGCAGAACATGAAATAATGGATTCAAGTTTGAAGAAGGCAGATCTTGTTTGAATGTTTAAAAACTATCCTAACAGTAACAGTAGTTTGACAGTGAAACCAATTACCAAGAGAAGAGGTGGGCTTCCCTTCACTGGATGTGTTCAAATGAAGGAAAACCTAGAGAAATTTTAATTTGGTTTGCTGAATTGAACAAGTGGTTGGACTTGATCACCTAAATGGCCTCCAACTCCAATGACTGTACCACACTACATGGCCACAGTGGCAATGAGGAGGCTATGCCATATTTCTCCTACGAGTTTTAAAACTGTGGAGCGGTGGAGAGAGGTGCATCTTAAAATATTAAATAGAAATCTATCTCTTTCCTCTGATGGCCTTTACAAAATAAAGCAATGAAATTAAATGTCACGTCCTCAAGTTGTATGCTACACATTTATTCTAATCTTTCTTTTAAAATATTGAGGTTAGAGTATCAACCATTCACTGGTAATTTATACTTTGGTTAAACCTATTATGCCTATGGAGCAAACAAATCACAACCAACATCCCCCACCCCCCTTGTTTTTAATGAACTACACACAACTTGACTTTTCACAGTGCCACTGCAAGGGCACACAGAGGTTAAAATAACATTTAAACCCAATTACATACATTTATCACACCTGATGGCTGAAAGAATTCTATAACTGAGAAAAACTAACTACAGTACTTGGCTTCCTACTGTTGGCCTCAATTTTACTATATTACTTAAGAGTAACTAATATTATAATGTAGTATTTTTAAGTTTGTTCCTCTATCTGCTTCCCTTCTGATTTATTTTTAATCCTGACTCTCAATTACCTTGGATCCATCACATCAAAATCTTCTTGAGATCCACAGAGGGTCTTCAGCCATAAGAGAACAACTGTTCTATTTTTTTTATGATTATATCTGGAGGTTTTATTGTGGGTTTCTTGTCTTTTGTTTCAAGAGTTCTGAACATTTGACTGAGTTGCTTACAAAAACAGATGACAAATGCTTTGATTACCTACCAGGGCTAATGCCAGCTGCATTCCCATATCTCCCCCAAAGGCTGTTCCTGAGGATCAAGGGAATCTCTGGGATGCTGTACAATGGAACATATGGTTGCAACACACAAGGAAACTGTGAGGAATTCATAGATCTTTGTTTTATTTGTAGAAGTACCCAATGTTTTTATTCTGCTATATGATACATTTTATTAGTTTGATACATTATATACTATTTTGTAGACTTCTGTGCAACATGTTTGAGAGGTTTTAAAAAATCATTTTAAATAAAAATGAAAGGCAATACAGAAAGCCACACAATGCAGAAATCCAATAGTATTGTTTAAATATGATAAAACCCACGTCAAGAGGCTCGTATCTGTGTTCATAGTATTTTAAAAAAAACTTTACCTAAGAAATACATTTTCTCATAATTTATTTTGCTGTAAACCAATATAATTCACCTACTTCTAACAGCTATAGCTGCATGAAGATAAACTGCCTAAAAGCAGCACATTTTTAAGTAACTCATGAGTCCTGCCCTAGTTGCAAGCAAGTTCCCCTAGGGAATCTGCATTGATTCATAATATACATTCAGCATTTTGATTTCCAGATTTAAAGTCAAAGTGCCAGATGAACGTTCAGAACATTTTGAATAAGGGCCTAAATTGAGGGTTTAAAAGAGCTGAAAGCTAGAGAATAAATCAAATAAATAAATAAAAGTTAGGAAATTGTTAGTTTCCAAGTATAAACTATCTGATATGTTCTTCCAGAATATTTCCCTGTGATTCTACCTGGATTCACAATGTATAAAATTGACTTTGTTCTCATACAATAAGAAGCAAAATGGCAATCTAGCCTATATTCCCAGAGTTACCAACATATGATGGATGGGCATAAAATATTGCATCAAAACTCACTGAGGCTGATGATGGCTATACTGTATCAAGATACAGCTTTGAATTCTTTGAATGTTCTCTAGCTCAGGATCTGCAAGACTGGTGCCTGTAACTGTAGAGGAATTGCTTTGCTATTGAGTAAGAGTAGAAAAAAAAATTCCCAGCATTCACACTATTTTCAGT